CGTGCTATGAAAAGAGCTTCCAAGTCTTAGAAGCATAGTTGGTTATGCATTAACCTAAAGTAACAACGTGTTAGTAAGGTTTGTCATTCAGAGTGTGTGTCTTGGAAGATTTCCGTGACCCTTGTCAAGTGACCCTTGTTACTTGAGATCATCTAGACTGGGGCAAGCTAAGATGACAAGCTATAATCCAAAGAACCACACAAAGAGCAAAAAGGAGACTAATGATACCTCCAGTGTGCATATCATGTTTACTTTGACTTTTATAAAGAGGTAATTTGCAAGAGTGGAGATAATCCCACTATACTTTATAATTTAAATGTCAATCGGAATGTATGCTGACATGCAACTGATTAACGGCAAGCTTTGGTGGCAAATTAATTAGTATTTAATCCAGAGGCTCTATTAAGATGCAGTGTGATAAAAATAACAGTTTTTTTCCAGCAGTCATTCAATTAAAATGCACAAACTATCTCTGCAGGTTTTTCTGAGTTTTGCATGTTTTATTTAAAAGCTAAATAATCGTTTCTCATTTATATGAAAACTGGCGTACACACAACAAACTCTCAAGATATAGCTTGGATGAGAGTATTCAAATGGATTAAAAATGAAGTGCTTATGATAAAAGAGCAATTGTATGTTTTTAAAAGAAAAACAAATGCCAATAAATATAGCTTAGATGTGGCTTTCTGTTTGTTGATCTTAGCATCTTTTTGTGTATTATTTATATTCTCTCTCTCTTTCCATTTCTTTTTGCCAAGTGCATGGTGCTTAATTTTTAGAATATCATTTAGTTTTTAATGCTTCTGTTTCCATTCTGAAATCAGTGGCTTAAGACTATGTGACTTTAAAGAGGATTTTTTTTGTGCTCCTTGATGGATTTTTTGTGTAAATAATTTTTTTTTTTTTTCGCTTTCCTTTCTTCCTCGAGCAGTCCTTTGTCAGCTTCTTTTCTACTGGAACCAATAATGACATTCTCCTCTACTGGGAAGAGTTGTTATGCTGCAAACTCCCCAGTGGAAAAAATGCTAATGTAGATTTCTTATGATCATAGCCCCTGTTCAGCAG